TGGACATGCACGCACACGTGCATACACATGTACACACATGCACACACACTACCCACACCACCTTCCTCCCCTTTCCTTTCTCTCCTTTGTGCTGCCTCACTTCTTCCCTTTGGCTAGTTTTCTTACTTCTCAGAAAGCGCATATTTTCACAGTATTTTCACTAAAAGTCAGTTGAGTTCAGCCGCTCATTCATGTCTGACTCTTTGCCACCCCATGGACTGCAGCACACCAGGCTTCTCTGTCCATCACCAACTGCCGGAGTTTACTCAAACGCATGTCCATCAGGTTGGTGATGCCATCCAACCATCTCATCCTCTGTCATCCCCTTCTCCTTCTGCCTTCAACCTTTCCCAGCATCAGGGTCTTTTCAAATGAGTCAGTACTTCGCATCACGTAGCCAAAGTATTGGAGCTTCAGCTTCAGCATCAGTCCTTCCAATGAATATTCAGGATTGATTTCCTTTAGGATGGACTGGTTTGATTCCCTTGCAGTTCAAGTTACTCTCAAGAATCTTCTCCAACACTACAGTTCAAAACTATCAGTCCTTCTAGGCTCAGCTTTCTTTATGGTTCAACTCTCACATCCATACATGACTACTGGAGAAACCGTAGCTTTGACTATATGGACCTTTGTAGGAAAAGTAATGTTTCTGCTTTTTAATATGTTGTCTAGGTTGGTCATAGCTTTTCTTCTAAGGAGTAAGCATCTTTTAATTTCACGGCTGAAGTTACCACCTGCAGTGATTTTTGGAGACCAAGAAAATAAAGTCTGTCACTGTTTCCATTGTTTCCCCATCTACTTGCCATGAAGTGATGGGACTGGATGCCATGATCTTCATTTTCTGAATGATGAGTTTTAAGCCAACTTTTTTCCCTCTCACCTTTCATTTTAATCAAGAGGCTCTTTAGTTCTTCTTTGCTTTCTGCCATAAGGGTGGTGTCATCTGCATATTGGAGGTTACTGATATTTCTCCCAGCAATCTTGATTCCAGCTTTGTGCTTCATCCAGCCCAGTGTTTCTCATAATGTACTCTGCATGTAAGTTAAATAAGAGGGTGACAATATACAGCCTTGACGTACTCCTTTCCCAATTTGGAACCAGTTTGTTGTTCCATGTCCGGTTCTAACTGCTGTTTCTTGACCAGCATACAGCTTTCTCAGGAGGCAGGTCACGTGGTCTGCTTTTCCCATCTCTTGAAGAATTTTCTACAGTTTGTTGTGATCCACACAGTTAAAGATTTTGGCATAGTCAATAAAACAGAAGTAGATGTTTTTCTGGAACTCTCTTGTTTTTTCTATGATCCAACAGATGTCAGCAATTTGATCTCTGGTTCCTCTGACTTTTCTAAATTCAGCTTGAACCTCTGGAAGTTCATGGTTCATGTACTGTTGAAGCCTGGCTTAGAGAATTTTGAGCATTACTTTGCTAGCATGTAAGATGGGTGCAATCGTGCAGTAGTTTGAACATTTTTTGGCGTTGCCTTTCTTTGCAATGTTGTTTGCAATGCAGAGTATCTTCTGCTAATTCAGAATCATCTATTTTATACAAGTCCTCAAAGTTCTCTGAGCTTCAATGTCTTCTGCTCAAAAACGTAGAAGATCCTAGCACCCACCTCCAGGAGTGCTTATGAGGATGAAATCAAACGACAGACGTCAAGACTAGTCCATATTAGAAGCTCCAGAAGTCCAGCCTCCTTCTTGCCCATCAGAGATCAGAGCAGCTGGTCCTGCGGCTGCAGAGACATCTGAGGCCTGCTCCAGGGCAGGTCAGGGCCCAGCCTCTCCTGACTCGCCTTCCGAGGCTCCAAGCTGTAAAGCCTCACTCGGCTGGGGGTGAGAACCAGCCCCAGAGCTGCTGAAAAGCCAGGCTGTTTTATTTGAAGTCTACAACCTGGAACTAGAGATTAAGGTTAGGGTTAGTAGCTTAAAAAGTCATTTTTGCGGATGAAACCAAGCTGGTTACCCACATAGGAAAAAGCATTCTGTTTCTCCAAAACCCAAAAAACATTAGCTTGGTCTTGATATCAGACAGCAAGAATTGCATGTGTCACAGACTGTGATTCTATAATTCAGGGTTTGAGGAAAGAACCCCACATGCCAAGACAGGAGGGCGCCAGCAGGAGGAGACTGGGGTCTGCACTCCTTGTTTTGGTAGTCCCTGCATTTTGGGACAGCTTACTAAATTGAGTGACTTTTGAAAATGGGATTCCCTGCACCAAAGTAAAGCTGGTTACGTGCTTGAGCTGGCGCATGGGTCTCATGGGCCCTGGGTTAGCATCGCCCAGGGCAGGAGGGAGGGTGGTCCTTGGCCGAGACCCCCTCCCCCTCCCCGTGCCATCAGCGATGTGGATGGTGCCGGACGGGCATCCGGGGACAGGGGGGTCTGTCCCAGCTGGAAGGGACAGACCCTGCCTCTTAGGTCCTGCTCAGCTCCGCCTAAATCCACACTTTCCTTGAAGCCTCGCATGTAACCCTCCGAGAGCTCCACACCCCAGTGAGCGAGCGGCTGTAGCTTCTTGTTCAGGAGCAGAGGGATGGGGCACCGGCAGAGGTGAACTGAGACTGTGGCGGCCTCTAGGATGCCTGGCTGAGCACTACCATGGCCTGTCCTCCAAGAGCAGGGATGCCAGCAGCTCCAGAGAATGAGAAACAGGTGCTTTTAACTCACAGGAGGCCACTCGCCTGTGTCAGGGCCGAGACATCTGCCCAGAGGCCTTGGGGACCCCAGGGGCTCTGTGACCACCCACCCCCATTGCCCCTGCCACCTCCACCCAGGCCTGGTTGGGTTCTGGTTCCCATCACTGTATCCCGAGGATGGAGGAGCCTGGCGGGCTGCAGGCCGTGGGTCACAAAGAGGCAGACACGACGGGCGCAGGCGTGCATGCACTGTGGGGAGGGGGTCATCGCTCATCGCTCTCCCCCCGAGGCCCCTGGCAGTGCTTCTCTCAGCGCCCGTCTGTCTTGTTCGTCCCCATGTTCATTCCCTCAGACTAGAAAGTGCTTTTAAACAAACTGTGTGTGTTTTTAAATTCTTGTTGGAGTAGAGTTGACTTACAAAGTTGTGTGAGTTTCAGGTGTATGGCAAAATGCATCAGCTTTATGTGTGCATCTACCCGCTGCCTTAGATTCTACTCCCGTGTAGGCTCTTACAGAGTATCAAGCAGAATTCCCTGTGTTAGGGGCAGGTCCTTATTGTCATTCATGCATCACAAGGAGGCCATGGCCACCCACTCCAGGATTCTTGCCTGGAGAATCCCGTGGACAGAGGAGCCTGGCGGACTGCATTCCATGGGGTCACAGAGAGCCAGACACGACTGAGCGACTGAGCGACTGAGCACATTTCACATATCGTATTGCATCCATGTCAATCCAGTCTCCAAGTTTTTCCCTCCCCTCTCTCCCTCTGGGAACCATGTACTTTTACCCAAGAGTGATCACTGATTAAGACAAAATTTGTAGGACCTGGGGTCCGAGAGCCCATCATAGACAGGCTCCAAAACGTCTGTCCACTGATTGTGGCAAAATCAGGATTTGAAGGGTGGTCTCAAGGCCGACGGCTGGGTGCAGCCGCTTGGGTCCCAGCAGCAGAGACGTGGGCGTGGGGACGGGGCACCTGCTTCAGACCTGGGTTGTGACCTCAGCCTCACCATGCTCACTCCCTGGACGTCAGCACTGTCTTATCCACACAACGTCACACAGTATGTGTACAGTATTTAGACTTCACAAAACAGAGCGATTGAGTCATTATAGAAGCCACACATGTATTATTTCATTTAGCTTGCTTCAATTTTTAGGGGGAAAAAGCAGTTCTTTTTCCCTTTTGGTATCTGGTTTAGCAGGAATGTAGCAAAACCATCTATAAAAATGAACACGTGTGCCTTTTCAGGTTTAGCAAAGTGGAACCGTGCCTTCGCCGGAGGCTGGCCTCTGTGGTGAGCACCCCAGCAGGCCATCCAGGGGCCAGGGGGCAGCACCCTGCCGGGACTGCGGGGCTCCCTGAGGCATCTCCAACCCCAGCTGTGCCCCGGGCCCCCCATCATGAGCCAGAGTCCTCAGGCAGCTCTTTCTCAGGCTCCATCAGGGCAGGAGGCGTACGTGGTGGAACCAGCAAGCCCAACCTGAAAACGAAAACTGCGTGGACCTCAATGCCTGTTTGCAGTCAGCCTAAGAAGTTATTCTGTGAATTCTGACATCAGTGCATTCACCAGGGGGCCAGCGCCAGGGCCACCTTCCCCTGGCCAGTCACACCCAGGGGTTTTTATCCCTTTGGCTTCCCCTCCAGGTGGAGCCATCTTTGGGGGACCCCTCCGTTCACCGGGCCCCCTCTCTGCACCATAAGCAGCTGCAGGCCGTCTGCTTCGGGCAATCTTTTGGAGTCTGTGATGTGTCCCGTCTTCCTCGTGTTTCCGTCGCTCACCTCCAGTCCTCACCTGGCACTCCCCCTGCCTGTCTTCCCTCCCCATCACCTGAAACGGACCGGCTACTTCCAGCCGTGCAGCTGTCGGGGTACATGTCACCCCAGGAAGGGCCCCTTTGGTCTCCCCAGGGGAGGCAGCGACCAGGTCACTTCAGGTCTCACTGTCCAGTCTTAATCCTCCTGGGGAGCTGACAGTTCCAAGGAGGTTCATTGTCACTCATTTGTCTTCCTCTGCCCCCAACATCGAAGTGGAAACAGCATGTTCATGAGAAACCTCAGCTGTGTCCCCAGGGCCAGGAGAAGCTCCTACAGGCCTTGGTGAAACAGACTGGATTGTGTGTGTGTAACAGGGAACCTGGAGACACAGTCTTTCTGTCTTTCCGTTGTTTCCCAAGTAACCGCTTGAGTACTTGTCTTTATTGGAGTCTAGTTGCTTCACAATGTTGGGTTAGCTTGTGCAGCACAGCAAACTGATTCAGCCATGCATGTGCCAGGCAGCCCCTCTTTTTGCGTTTCCCTCCCACAGGTCGCCACAGAGCACCGAGCAGCTCCCCTGTGCTGCACGGCAGGGTCCCACTGTGACCATGGAAACCATCTTTAACACATCCCCCACCCCGGAATCGAGGGAACGCTTCCCATCCTGCAGTTTGGACTTCGTCACATCAGAGGCAGACCCGTTCCGGAGCCGACCTCCCCCAGCCCAGAGGTTGCTGTCCTCCAGGCGGCCTCCTCCGGGCCCCGGCTTTGGCGCCGTGGATGGTGAGACTGCTCTGCGTCAAGTCACGCGCATTCTTCTCATCTCTTTCCCCTTCTGTCCGTCTCAACTAACTGATGGTCAGGCCTTGCTCTCGATTACAGAGCCAGGGCCATCTTCTCAAACTGCTTTAAAAGTGAAGCGAGCTGGTTCCAAGCAGAGTTCCGTGGTGCTCTCGTCACACACGCGTGTGCGCCTCGTCGGGAATCCCACCCGGCTTCCGGAGCTCTTGTCCGTGAGCCTCCACGGCATCCCGTGTCACTCCAAACAGCCCCCGTTCTGATGGAGGAATCCGTTTAACCTCAGGAGCTTCTGCTGCTTGCTGTGTTGAGTGATGTTTGTGATAAAGACATAGGAAGATCGTATGTATTACTACAAACTAATGTAGCAAACTGGATTTTAAAACTCGCATTTCAGCAGGTGCAGTGCAATGCCACAAAACACCCTGTGGTTGGATCAGTCACAGCTGGGTTTCCACTGGCTCCAAGGCTCCTGAGCTGAGCTTCTTCACACAAGCTTTTTAATTGCTCCAAACCTGTTACTTCACAACCAAATCCGGAGATGAGTAAGACCTGGACTCCTGGAGACGACAGCACACACCTTGGTAGGCAGTGTTACGTGTTCATTCTGCTTATCCGCAAGCTCTTGCTTTCCTGCCACGCACAGCGCGGACATGCTCGGACCCCAGCTCATCGCAGAAACCACCGTCTGACTCACGGCTCTCCCAGAGGATTTCCTAGGCTTGTCGGGACTTCCGTTTTACAGCCACGGAATGAGTGGAAAATGCAAATTACAGGTCAACTTAGAAATGACAGACACCACCCCTTATTTTTCTTCCTGCTTTGTCAGACAGTCACTGAGACCTTAGCCGCAATCTGAAGGACACGCTACTTGAAACCAGCTCTGACAGGACGTAGAGGAAGATGTGTGTACTGACTTTCGAGGGTTATGGAATTTTTCCACTAGCGTTACATTATTGTCGGATCATCCATCTGATACTCCCCGCCTTCCTCAGAGATGCTGGCTCAGGAATCAGAATTGCCAGGTTTATGAACCACACACACACATACAACACAGGACACCCAGTTAAACTGAACTATCGGCAAAACAATGGACAACTTTTTGACTGTGCTACATGTCTGACCTTGTGTGACCCTATGGACCGTAGCCCACCAGGCTCCTCTGTCCATGGAATTCTCTAGGCGAGAATACTGGAGTGGGTTGCCGTCTCCTCCTCCAGGGAATCTTCCTGACCCAGGGATCGAACCCAAGTCTCTTACGTTTCCCGCATCAAAAGGCAAGTTCTTTACCACCGGGGCCACCTGGGAAGCCCAATTTTGAGACAAGCTCATACATAATGATAAATTCACTGCTGACCTTCACTCCAAGTTGAGCTGGGTGTGCTGCCCTTTATCTGTCAAACCTCCGTGCATCCCACCTGGCCCTGGGAGGTCTGCTGGCTTATGAAACAGAGCTCCGCACATTCTCAAGGCTGAAGGTGGAGCCATAACTTCTATCATCTGATCCCTGGAGCCATAACTTCTATCATCTGATTCCTGGGTGAAGTTGAAGTTTCTCAAACAGATCCACAAATGTAGCAGAGGGCTGCCCAGTAGTCTGAGCTGGGAGGCGTGGCTGCAGGGGGGCTGGTGGGCTGAGTCCAGCCTGCCCGGCAGTCGACCACGACCTCATCGAGGCCCAGCCTTGTCCCCCAGCACGTTAAGTTGTCAGTTTGACTTGTACTGGGGCTGCAATTCATATGTATTTTTCCGTTTGTATAAGAATGCAAGGATAAGGGTTTTACATCTATCTACTGGAATATCTTACGTGAAAAGAAATCATATGAAATTATCATAAGAAATTATATGAAAAGAAATCATAGATCACAGTGCTGTGGGTCAATGAGATTCATTTTCTTCCTTTAGGGACTACAGCACTTTAATCACAAGACTTGGGGTGGACAGACAGGCCTCGCCGGCTTTGTTTGTTGGTCTCTTTGTCTAGTTGCCGCACACATTCTCTCAGGAACCACTAAGCTCGGGAGGCCCCTTCAGGCAGCAGGAGGAGGGTGCTTGTCAAGGCCGGTGTCTTCCTTTGATGATGCTGAGGGTCCCATGGAGATGGGGAAGGAAGGACAGTTGCCTCACTGCCATGAGCTGCAGCAGAAGCAGAACTCACTGAGAGAACTGCTTAGGGGATGAACCCAAGCCCCGGGATGGGCCCCGCATGGATGCTGCAAAGGACAGGTCGCCTGTCCCGTGACAGTCTCTGTACCTGCGGCCGGAGGGCAGCCTGCGCTGACCTACACCTGCATTCCTACAACCCCGAGGTGTGGGGCCACTAGCAAGGTCAATATCTAATTCCTGTGGCCCAAGTTTAAAACAAGACAAGTGGAACTCCAGAAGGCTGACATTTTAAAAAGGAATTATATAACTTTTTTTTTTTCTGTTTTCAAATCTAGTTGGAAGATTTTAGTTCTCCTTTTGAAATGTTTTTTTTTTAAAAAAGCAAGTTCAGATCAGTTCATCCATTTCGTCCAGACAGGACTGCAGAAAAAAACCAAAGGGCAAGGAACCACAGGAATAGGTTAACGCACATCACAGATGCGAGGGACCCCACAGGCGGGACCCTGGCCTTGGGGCTGAAACCTCGCCCTCGGCATGCATCTTGAGCTTGACTCTCGCTGTACCTCTTTCCTCTTGAGTTTGAATTGCGACGATTCCAGTCCTTTAGTGAGTGTTAATTTGAGTGCTGCTGTGGCATGCTGTTTTTTTCACCAGAGCCATCCAGGTTCTGGGCTGAATACAATTAAAAGGGTTGTAAAAAAGTTTTAACCCTCTGGACCATTGACTTTCTTAAAACAAAAGCTACACAAATTCAGTCTGTGTTCAACTTTCACACTATGTAAGAAAATGTTCTCAAATAATTTTTAAAGATTAAAAAATTTAGTAACATTTTAGAGACCTTTCTAGAACCAAAGCCCACTTTTTATTTACTCAAGAAGACCAAAGGTTGATGATGCAGGTCCTTCGGTGGTCCATGCCCCCACGGTTCCCACACCCTGCCAGCAGGTCCAGACACAGCAGACCTCAGGAGCCAGTCCTCAGCCTGATCTCTAGCAGCAGAGGAGAGCTGCAGGGGAAGCGGTCTCCAGGAACAGAAGACAGGCAGACGGGCTTGCAGAGCCATGACCATGGCCCCTCCGCCTCCTACCTGGGCTTCCATGCCGCCCGTCTACTCGCCAACGCAGGTTGAGAGTCAGGAGGGTGGCAAATTCAGCTTCGACTCCCAGACTTGGCTCCTCTCCATCTCAAGTTCATGGGAATGCCAATCTTACTTTTGAATTAGTTATCATTCCAATAACAGCTCATTTTCTTTCTAAAAACATTGTTAATGTTGTGGAAATGCACACAAAAAGCACAAAGCAGAAATATAGTCTTTAAATTTTTTCTTCATTTACCCAGGTCATTTCCTAGGTCCTCTCTTCATCTTGATCACTATCTTTCTTCCTATGATACTAATCAGTCCTTTGCCTTCCTGCAAAGATTCAAAACAACTTACTCTTGATAAAAATTCCTCCAGTTATTCCATCACGAAGCACATGGTGTAATACACACAACACGCGTTACCTTTGATTCTACCCAGTTTGGTTAGTTTAAAATGGATTATGAAAGTAGCTCAGAATCAATCTGACAAAACTGTAAGATGGAAAAAGATGGTTAGCAAGGCAAGTCAACATGTTCAAGAGAACTGATAAGGTTGAATTTTTTCAGTAACTGAAATGGGAGGATTACCATTAGTGTTATTGATCAAATCCATCAAACTTCACACCCTTTTTGCAAAGACACAGGATATTTTAAACGCAGCAAACAGACACGCACACGCACTCACATGTGGGTGCGGAAGGTGGAAGAGGGCAGCACAGCCGCTTTTGTTAAGAAGCCAAACTGCCCCCTGGACTCCTGGAGGCATGCTCGCAGGCCGCTCTGGAGACGAGGGAGCTGGTATTACTTTACCTTCTGGTTCTCTGGTCGCTATCCCAGCCACCTTCACGGGCCCCAGGCCTGCCTTCTGCTCAGGCCTGTGTCCTCGCTGGACAGGAGACCCCGGGGTACAGCAGGGAGTGATGGGGTGGTTTCCATGGAGACAGAGAGTTGAGGCGCCCCTCTCAGGCTGGGAGTGCTGGGCGGCATGGCTGCAGCCACCTGCTATCTCTGCTCCTTCTGCTTTCCATGGCTGAGTTGTCTTCTCGGCAACACCTGAGACATGCTAGGTCCTGACCCCCAAAGGTGGCCAAAAACACAAGCACACAGCTAACTCAGCCAGGCTCCTGCTGTTGATTGCCTGCTGGCCTGAAAAAATGGCAAATCTTCATTTTTTGGTTGAAGAAATCATGACATGTTCATTGATTTCTAACCGAATTAGTTTAAGTGGAGTTTCAGTTTATCTGAGGGCATATGTACCCTTGTCTCTTGGCAGCAAGACCTACAACAGAACACAGTCTCTCTCTTAACACACATGGACACATTATGCACACACACATGGGTTCACATAGGATGTCCACAGGCATGCACACACATGCCACCCCCCCACACACACCCTGTGATTAAAACGCTGGGACATAATCTGGAGATAACCTAACATTTCTGCAGCTATATCTTCAGTGAACTTACAGGCACGTCAGCCAGTGGGCAGCAGGAAATGCCACTGCCCTCATCCTCTGAAAGTCCGCTCCATTGCTGACCCTGGGCTCCAATTCCCCGGGGGCTGCGGCAATCCTTCCGTCATTCTTGGGATCCACACCCCGGGGCGGCGGTGAGCCTCGGATCGGGTTTTGCACGGTGCCAGGAGAGTGTCTAACAAGCATTTGCACAGCCCGTGCTGTCTGTCATGCACTCTTCCCAGTGCTTTCTAGCTGTGAACCCACCTAAGGCTCATGGTAAACTCGGGGAGAACGCGGCTCCCCCGAGGAGCGCCGAGCAGCCGTCTCAGCGGGCAGGGCTGCCTGTGACCTGCCGGGACCACGGCCCTAGGCAGGGGGACGGCCTTTCAGCTCAGCATGGGCTCCAGTGCTGTCCTGCCGGCCAGCCGCTCCCCAGACACCCGGCTCCCTGAGGGCCTGGCCTGGCAGCTCCGGGGACCAGCGGGTGGGGCCCATGCTATGTGGGAACCTCCCGTCCCCTTTTCCCTGAATGCGCCTCGTGTTCCTGCTTTCTTCCCGGTGCTGACCCCGGGAGGCAGAGGACCGGTCCTGTCTGATTTCAGGCTCTTGTTACCTCTGCTCACCTCGCCGCGCCAGGAGGCCACCCGCAAGTGGTCCTTCTTGCTCCCGCTTTGCCAACACTCTCACTCAGAGACTTACTGGCATTCCACTCCTCTCTCCCTTTCCCTTAATCTCCTCTAAAACCACCTAAGTCCTCAGGAGGCTGACACTTGGGGAAGGCCATCCTTGCAGAGCGAGCAGCTTTCTTCCGTGCAGAAACGGCGAGAGAAGAGCAGCCTCTAAGGAGAGGCTAAGTCCCTGCATGTGGACGTCGCCAACATCCAGCCACCAAAGACGACCTTACTTGGAATCCTTTCATTAAATTATCATGTTTCTTTCCTTCTCTGTGTTGGCCAAGATCCTAGCTGCTTACCATGGGCTGTTGAAAATGGCTCGCGGATGCTGCCCAGTTTGGAAACAGCAGAGTTTCCCAAACCAAACTTCTGACCACTAAGCTCTTACTTGCCGACTCCAGTGGAGTTGCCTTACAAAGGGATGGAACATCTGAGCGCAGCACACCGTCCATGCATTTTGGCTGAAATATATGATTCAAAATGAATGTTTTCCCATTAAAGGGTCATCAGTAAGTACTGGGCGACTGTGTGATCTTTACCACGTGGTGGAGGAATAAAAGCGTCTGTCCCTGCAGGACAGCGTCCCCCAGGAGAGGAGTATCTGCCTGGTCAGGTCTGAGCTGCCCCTCACTCCTCCAGAGAGGCACTCAGCCGCCTGGTGACGAGGATGTGCTGGCCGCTCGGCCCGGGTGCCAGAGCAAAGCAGTGGGAACGGCCAGTGTGTTACTGAAGCGTCAGGAATGCCTCGGATGCCAAGGTCTAAGGCTCCTTGAGGAAAAGGCAGTGCGCAGCCTGGAGAAGGGGCGAGCTGCCCGAGCAGAGGTCCATCTGCGCCCACCCGAGGGTCTCCGCTTCAGTGGTATTGGTGGCGCTGCATCCCTCCAGGGCTCTGGGCCCCTTTAGTGACATTCATGTTCTCCTTCCCATGGGAGTGAAGTGCTAACTCAGTGTCTGCCTCATGCAATCACCACAGCAGCCGTGAGACGTGTGCGGGTTAGAGGAATTAAAGTAGATATTACAAAGGAATCCGTAAAAAATGAACGTGAAAAGAGTGCTTCAAAATTTTTAAGATGCTGCTTAGTAGACATTCAGTGTTTACATAAACAAAAGATGTGATTTCCTACTTTATTTAAACAGGTTTGAATGTACCTACATGCATATGTAAATATATATGAATTTCTTCCACAGTAAGTAATAGTATCTTTCTCCAGGAAGCAACCTATACTGGATAACAGGGAGAGAGTCTTTCACTGCTTAAAGGTGAGATTGTATATTTAGGAAAAGAAGTTTCACATTTCTGCTACTTTCTGGATCTCTGCTTGGTTATCTATTTTACTTATGGGTCCAGAGATTGTGATTCTCATTAAGAACAGGACACCTTCCAAATGCTTTCTTCTTTTTTCCTTCTTTATAATAAAAATATGTAACAGTATTAACTTAAAATATTACAATTCTATTTTTAAGCTTCTTATAACAGTCTATTGAGCCATCATTCACATACTGTCAAATGCATGCATGTAAAGCATACAATTATCCTGCAAGGAGATCCAACCAGTCCATCCTAAAGGAAATCAGTCCTAAATATTTATTGGAAGGACTGATGCAAAAGCTGGAGCTCCAATACTTTGGCTACCTTATGGGAAGGGCAAACTCATTGGAAGAGACCCTGATGCTGGGAAAGATTAGAGCAGGAGGGGAAGGGGATGACAGAGGATGAGATGGTTGGATGGCATCACCAACTCAATGGACATGAGTTTGAGCAAGCTCTGGGAGATGGTGAAGGACAGGGAGGACTGGTGTGCTGCAGTCCATGGGGTCGCAAAGAGTCCAACATGACTTAGCACCTGAACAACAAGCCTTTATATATTCACAGAGTTGTGCAAACGTCCACAAAATAAATTTTAGAACACGACATCACCCAGCCCCCATTATCAGTCACTCCTTACCACCCGCCCACCGTGGGCACCCGCCCTGCACCCCGTCTCTGCATTTCCTGTCGGCACGCCTCCTGTGAGCAGACAAACGTCGCAGGTCAGGTCTGAGCTCTGGTTGTAGTTCTGTTTTGTTAAGAACACCTCCTCCCCCAACATGCTGAGCTCCAGGAGAGGGAGTCTGGGGTCTTCTCTGCTACAGGGGATATGAGAATTCCCTCTGCTTTGGGGTGACCCCAACTGTAGTGACTGAATTTCTGGGTGCAAGGCCTAGGAAGCCAGTTTCTCTTGTTTTGTCAAGACCCAGAGACACGACCCACCATGAACACTGACTCATGAATCATAAAATTATCATTAGGAAAAGCTGGAAAAAGGCACAAGCCAACAGCCAAATGACAAAAACTTCTATTCTTAGTTTGTTTTCATGTTAAGTTATCTAAATAAAGCCATCTGGTTCTCTCTACATCGCTTAATGGGCTGCTCAGCCTGCAGGACATTTCCTCAAGCTGTGAGTGGACACAGACAACATGTGTCATTTCTTAGAACCAAGGCCTGTGAACAGCCTCAGCCAAAGGCTGGACCTATCACGCCTCATGTGCACTCAGCCACACTCCTCAGAAACTTGTAGGGACTCAAGAAGTGTCTTTTTAGTTCTAGCGATTGTGTTACGTTTTAACAAAGGCCGCTTGTTCACACCTTCTCACTAACAGAAGAGATAACAGCATGTCTCTCATGTGCAAATGCGTGACTGACCCCATCTAGAACACACCTCCGCTCTCCCCTCAGACTCTGAGACCCTCAGCACATGCCCCCAGAACTGCAGAGGCGGACAGTGCTCAAGCCACTGGACCTCCCACCTCCAGACTTTTCCAGGAAGAAAGTTGCTATCCAGTTGTTATGAAGCAGCCTCTCAGAGTCAGGTATTCAGTCCATGGGAACTAAACGTCAGCACTAAGAAGATGCTTGCATGCAAAGGTGTTATTGGAGTATCACTGGCCTGCAGACACCCGCACAAATGAAGCTGGGGGTGCCCATGGTCCAAATGGCATCATCAGATGACTCTAAAGGATGACTATGAGATCCTGTCCTAAACCAAGGGCGCTCCCTGGCTCCTATCAGGAGCAAATGCAAATATTTAGGGGGCCTCTGTGTTAAGTTACCTGTGTACTCAGTCGCTCAGTCATGTCTGACTCTTTGTGACCCATGGACTGTAGCACGCCAGGCTGTCCTGTTCTGGGAGTTTGCTCAGATTCATGTCAATTGAGTCAGTGATGCCATCTAACCATCTCATCCTCTGCCACCCTCTTCTCCTGTTGTCTTTAATCTTTTCCAGCATTGGAGTCTTTTCTAAGGAGTCAGCTCTTCGCATCAGGTGGCCAAAGTATTATGGACTTGTCCATTTCTCTATGCATCTCTGTTGGGTTTTTAAAAATCTATTTTTTTCCAGATCTACTAAAGTATAGTTGACAAATAAAGCTGTATATGTTTAAAGTGGACAGTGTCATGATTTGAGATATGTATACTGTATGAGACAATCACCAAATCAGGTGAAATAACACAATCTCCAGCTCACATAGCTCCCTTTTACTTTTAGTGCTGAGAATGCACAAAACCTACTTTCAGCAAATTTCAGGTACACGATACAATATTACTAACTATATTCACCACGCTGTACATGATGTCTCCATCTGTCCTGATTCAGGTCATTGTCAAGTCACAGATTTCGGCTGTTCAGTGAACACACATCAGGTCCCTGTGGTTTCCTGGTGGGTTAATATTTTTAGCATTTATGTAGTGTCCTCCTTTATCTTTAGTAATATTCTTTGCTCTGAAGCCTACTTTTTCAGATATTAATATAGCCACTTCTGCTTTTTAAAATTAATTGTTCCAGCATTCATCTCTTTTTTCCCACATTTCTACTTTCAAGCTACCTCTGCTGTTGAAATTAAGCTGAATTTCTTATGAAGTGCATATAGTTGGGTGGTGATTTATCTATTCCACCAATCTCTGTCTTTTGATTGGTGTACTTAGACCAATTAGACTTAATATAATTATTGCTGCATGAAGGCTTCTTTGGTTTCTGTGTGTTTTCTTATTCCTCTGCTGATCTTTGCTTCCTCCTTTTTGTTACTTGAGTATTCATTAGCATTCCACCTCAACCTATTCACCCTACTTTTGCAGATACCCGCCGTGGGGTGCTCAGTGGCCACTCCGGGTTCTGAATTGGTTGGCAGTCCACCAGCACCAGCGTCTTTGCTGCTTAGAGGGGAGCGTGGAAGCTCCACTTCCGTTCCCACCCCTGCCTCCCCTGTTTTAAGTATGGCTGTCTTGATTATTGATGGAGTTATAATTTGTTGTGATCATCAAATATAATTTACAGAATTCAGGAAAAACAATGTGAATACCCATATTTCTACTCTTTCTATTGTTCCTTCTTTCATTCTGTTGCTCTAAGATTCTTCATTACTTTCTTCTTGGTTGAAAATTTTGCTTTAGCCAGTCTTTAAGCATCCTCTAGCCATGCCCTCTTTTCGCTTTTCCTCCATCAGAATATGGTTTCATTTCCAATAACTTCTCAAGTAATCTTTTCAGATGTAGAATTTGTTGTCAGTGACTCTTTTGCATCCTTACCTCTCTGGACTATCTCCCGTCATCTTGGAGATCTCTGAGCACCCTGCCCTCCTCTGCCCTCGGCTGTGAGAGCCTCCCGATGACCCCCTTGCTCCACGCTTGTTCCAGTTGAGCCACCGGAACGACCCTGTTGAAGTGCAGTCAGACACACTCGGTCCCCAGGCTGAGCGCCTCCCCGCCTTCTGCTCAACGGGAGCAGGCAGCCCGCGGACCCCAGGCCCTAGTGTGTCCGACCTCCAGACGCCTCTGCTTCCAGTGCTGGACGTTTTCTGTTTGCTCCACTGGACCAACTGCCCACTGCGTGTCACCCGACCCGTGTGCCCCGGAGCTGACCTTCACGGCCGTCATGCACGGGGCCCCTCGCCCTCCGGTTCCTGTGGTGGTTAGAGAGGGAGTGGACAGCAGAGGAAGCCGGGTGGGGACAGAGGTGCCATCCTGCCTGTCCTCCCACCCTTCAGCCTCAGGGCTAGGGGCTGCTCCTCCAGGCGCTGACCGCAGGTCCGGG